TGTACAGTTCAACTGCACAGGTAAACTTGAGTTTAGTAGAGACCATACACGTAGTGGTAAACCTGCACAAACTTTCAGTGGAAACCATGACCCCGATCGCTCTAACAATCACCGGACAACTAACGCTTGCGCAGACGACCGCCACACACGCTCAGTTTTACCTGCACAGTTAAACTGCACAGGTAGAAAATATCAAAATTCATATGTTTTCGAGTTGCCTGTACAGGCGTGGAAACCTGCGCAGTTATGTTACATACACGCTCCAGTTTACCTGTACAGTTAAACCTGTCAGGTAAACCCTAGCGTGTATGGCTTGCTTAACTGTCAAACTGCATAGTAATTTGACAATTGAGCATGATAAAAACGCGTTATAAATCATATCGCGGTGCTAGGGGGGCAGAGCTATATAAAATTTTGGCTGTTGTTCAAAGTTATTATAGAAAACTCACTATGCTTAACAATATCTTTATATAGATAAAGAATAGCATCCTCTGCGTCTGTCCAAAGATATGACTATTGCGTAATGAAAAAAAAATAAAAGGTTATTAATTTATGTAATCTGTATCTTAATTGATTTGTGTTAAAAGCATGCATTGATAAAACAAATTACGTACTTGTTGTCTGTCCTAATTCGATAATATAATAGTCAGTAAGTGGCTCAAGTGTAAACAGTCTTGATAGCAAAATCTTCATTTACATAATAACATGCTTATTCTTCTATAATATAAAAATGAATCGATGAAAGTGTAGCTAAGCGCAAATCTCGATAACAGCTGAACCGATTTCGATAATTATTTTTTCGAATATTCATTTATGATGAATTTCATTTATTAAAAGATATTTTTTTTGTATCCGAAAAAGCCACTTCTATATTTAAATCTGCATAATGCATTAAGGTAAGTATGTTTTAATGTTATGAAGTATATAATCAGGTAAACGAATACGTAAATATTTCATTGGATTGCTGAGCTGGTCTTAATCTAACCTCACATTTTTGGCGTGCTCATATTTTCTTTGGTAAGATGGGGTAACTTTGCACCTGGAGCAAACTAAACCCAAACATAAGCCGTTCAAAAGTAAACATTTTTTATTCATTAAATCAAGAACTGGCTCAGTGCTATCTATGCAAAGTTTATATTCTTCTAATAAAAACCTACAACGTAATTTCCTTAGCCAGACATGGCGGCCTTCTCTCCCACGTGCGTCTGCGACTAATATGGTATAGACCATTATTGGTATACGCCATTAATGGTAATACTCATACGATTATCGTGTACACATTGACCTTAATTAAGTGTGAAATCCTCTTTGTTCTTACTATTGATTTTAATTTTTTATAAATGTAATGGACACAGTAAGAAAAATACGAGTGTGCTTATGACCACACGACTGAAGTGAAACTTCTTTAGCGCCATCTGTATGTATATATATATATGTATGTATATAATATATACATGTATGTACATAAACATATTTCATTTACTTGCTTTAAGAGAAAGAAAATGTGCGCGCGCACTCCTTTCTTTTGCTTATATCCCCCACTCAACTACCGTTCGCCTCGTCCGAACACACTTTACGTAACGCGTAACGCATTCGCCAGCTTATCCCCCAAGTCAAACGTGAGTAAAGAAGTTTCACTTTGAAAAAAATAGTGTGCACGGAAAACACATCTGAAGTAAAACTTGGTTTCTTAAATAACCTAACATTAGGCGATGCAAGTCATAGGGGAATGGAGCAGCGCAAGCATCACTCATATGTCTATATATGTACATATATATATATATATATATATATGTGACATTCGTGACGTTTGCCCCTTTTCCCCCTTTAATCTTTTCCATAGGAATTTTCCATTTACACCCCGTCCGAAAAGAAGTTTCTTCAAAAAATAACAAACAAAAAAGTACATTAAGAAACGATGTTATGTATCGTTTGTGTCAAAACACTAAGGAGCTCAATGGTGCACTTAACTATATTGTATATCGAAATCCTTCGAACTCATTTTATTTCAGATAATTTATTACAGAAAAAGGTTACATTTATTTCACATAAAATCCATACTATTAAATTAGTGTGCGATAATCAAGTAATATTTAAGGTATGCAGTCATTAGTAACACTTATAGCCTGCTCCTAGCCTAGCCTAGAGGTGCTCGTTGGCGCAACTGATCGTTGAAATTAAGCAACTTTCGCAGCGGTCGGTCATTGGATGGGTAACCAAAAATTTACTATCTCGAGCTCCTCCGTGCTTCGGAAGGCACGTTAAGCCGTTGGTCCCGGTTGCATCTGCAGTCATTAGCACCCACCAATCCGCACTGGGACCGCGTGGTGGGTCACGGCCCAATCTCCCTGTTCCATCCATAGGGAAGGCCTGTGCCCCAGCAGTGGGGACATTAATAGGCTGATGATGACAGCCTGCGCAGACGAGGGACATTGAATCCCTGCCTAAACTCCCTGAATCGTGAAAACAATATTGTAACTATGTATTTATATTCTAAATGATGTAATGGAAAGTGACTTCAGACGTATCTCTGAAGTCATTTTTCAACTTGACGACACTGTTTATAACAATACAGGGAGATAAAAACAGCCCTAGCTGAGTTTCTTACCGGTTCTTCTCAGTACAAGGTCTCCCGCCGTAGTTTTGCGAACCGATGGCGTAGCTTCTTGACCTTCACAAGTGCTTCTAACAGCCTAGACTGAATAAATGACTTTTCATTTCATTTCTTTTCATATCCGCCGAAGACATTGTATGGATTCAAGAATTTATAACTTATACCAATCTAAGCGGCACTGCGGGACAGACTGAGAGAGAAGGAGCCCGCCTACCGCTGGCGTATGCGTGAGAGGAAGGGAAGCCAGACAGACTGTCACCATAACGCGTTACGTAACGAAGCGGTTTACCCTCTCATAAGAAGTTAACTCTTAAAATACTGGGTTCATCCCTTTATATCGATCGAGCGCGCAATGCGGACTAAAATCTGTGCGTTGCTGCGCCTAATCATATGAGTTCTATTTTTGCCTGGGACACCCAGGGAGGGACTTATTATACGCGGAAGGTACATTTAATCGGTTATGTGCGTTCACAATGAATTAATCATAATCATAATCAAAATCATTTATTCAGTTTAGGCTGTTACAAGCACTCATGAATGTCTAGAAGCTACGCCATCGGTTCGTAAATCTACGGCGGCAGACCTTGTACTAAAAAGAACCGACAAGAAACTCAGCAAGGGCTATTCTTTTCTCCCTGTTTTATTATTTACAGAGTCGTCAAATTGAAAAATGACTTCAGAGATGATTCATGAAGTCACCTTTCATTACATAATGATTATACATGAATTGTTGACCTTCATTTTAATTGGTATAAATAGGAGCTCGATGGCGCAGGTGGTTAGCGCGTTCGGCTGCGATCGTTGTAGTTAAGCAACTTTCGCAGTGGTCGGTCATTGGATGGGTGACCACAAATTTCTATCGCGAGTTCCTCCGTGCTTCGGAAGGCACGTTAAGCCGTTGGTCTCGGTTGCATCTGCAGTCGTTAGCACCCGCCAATCCGCACTGGGCCCGCGTTGTGGGTCATGGCCCAATCTCCCTATTCCATCCATAGGGAAGGCCTGTGCCCCAGCAGTGGGGACATTAAGAGGCTGATGATGATGATGACAGTATAAATAGTGAAGTTGTTAGCGATCCATTTTGGCGCACAAGAGAAAAGTCCTCAGAGAAAAGTCTCCCACAAGCCACAATATGACTTTGTGGTTGGCTGTTACCCTCAAATAATAACTCCCTTTTTCGGGGTTCCGTAGCTAAATGGCAAAAAAACGGAACCCTTATGGATTCGTCATGTCTGTCTGTCTGTCTGTCCGTCCGTATGTCACAGACACTTTTTTTAATTAGTTTTTTTTTTGCGTTTTATAATAATAGTTCAGACGTAGCAAAGAATTTTAAGTAATTATTAATTAAATTATTAATTTTACATACAAAGAGCCTCGCTTGACGACAAGCTACATTAAAAATAGAATCCAAAAAGTTATCATTGACTATTTTATCATTGTTTTTTCAACGTAGCGCTAACGTAACCACACAAATAAAACCTTGGTAAGCTTAGTTATGTAGGAGTAAGTTGATATTTATTAAGCTATAAAAATACTATGATACCGACAAAAAAAATATTTAACGGCCTCTTTTGAGAATAAATATATTATAGCACATCTCTTATCTATTAGACAAATCCGTCCGTCCGTCCGTCTGTCTGTGGTGCTGTTTCAGCGGCCAAACCGTAAGAGATAGATAAAGAGAATATTTAAGTTATAAGTTAAGAATAGTCTGGTAAGACTACAAACCGGATTTGAGTAACGTAGCACTTCTGATTTTCGAGAAATCACGAATTTCAAACGAAACCACACAAAATCTCCGAAGTTCTCAATTAATTAAATACATTTTTTTTAATCAGGTTTTGGTGAACATTTGGTTCACTGGTTTGCTAGTATTTAATTAATAACGTTTGTAAGTCAACTCTTATTGAGACGGAATTGAACAATTTTTTTACTGACCCTTGTACAATATTCGGAATGATTTTCCACAGCATTCGGACTTAAATCGATCTTTTATTATTATTTTGAATCGTGTGAAAAGTAACGTGGTCGACATGCAGTGCTATTCTGTAAAATTTTCACGCGCGGATCCGATGTAGATCCGCGTGCTTCCGATGTGGATCCGCGCGGTTCCAATATAAATCCGCGCGTGAAAAAATTTTATAGAACAACACTGCTGACGGTTAACTGTTGTTTTATCTAACAGCCCTTAGCACGAACCAATATCATTCGAATAGTTTGCGAGTGCGATACTATTCCACTCATTATACATTCATACATACATTACAAGTGAAGAACTTTACGTCCACAAAAAATCCGGTAGTCACCAAATTTTGATTCGACTAGTCTCTCTTGCTTAATGCTTTCCAATTAACTGAAATAATTTACTTTACCATTGCTTAATTTTCAGGTACCTCATGCAAACGCGACTGTCACCGAACAAGGCAAAGTATTTCATACCTTGCTTTGACAACCCACAGTTTGAGTCCGTGTTCAAGATAACGGTCTACCAGATGCCACCAGAGAGCCGTGTCCAGTACACCAACACCAGTATCGTCATAGCCCCGGAGATGAAAAGGGAGATGTAAGTTCCGTTATTCGAACTCTTCTCTCTTCGCACTTAAAGAAGGTTTTTCTAGAACCTTCTTTAAGTGCCGGATCTAAATAAGGAGCGCTAAGTGCCAATTCAAAACTCGCAGAGCAGTTCTTTTCGAAGTTCTAACAGCTTCTGAGCACATTTAGAATTTAAAAAAATCATAGGTCTAAAGACTGATTTGGAAAAAAAAGAACCTTAAACAAAAGACAAGATCAAGAGCTACTTTTGTTTTATTACCGTTCGTTCTATTAATTCTAATTATATACTATTCGTTCTAATTTTATTACCTTCACTAACTTAATACTACGTGATTAAAGGTACTGGGTCAACTATGTGTCAATTTTCTAAGGAGTTTCCTTCTGGAATACCGTGCCTAGCTTCGTTATGAGTTAGGTCAACATCTTGGCATGAAAGAGTTTCCTTCTGGAATACCGTTCCTAGCTTCGTTATGAGTTAGGTCAACATCTTGGCACGAAAGAGTTTCCTTCTGGAATACCGTACCTAGCTTCGTTATGAGTTAGGTCAACATCTTGGCACGAAAGAGTTTCCTTCTGGAATACCGTACCTAACTTCGTGATTCACCTAACAATATAATTTCATTGTATACAAAAAGATAATACTTACTTAATACGAAATCCTCTATGACAATAACAGTAATAAAACCTATTAAAAAAGATCATCAAAGTATCTACTATTGGAAGAAAGAAACAAAATTATATTTGTTTCTTAGGTTTTCACGCACATCACTCATTAAATAAAACTAGTTTTTATGGGTTAATGCACGAAACTTTATTTATTTACAATACACGAAACAAAAAAAAAATATTTGAGACATAAAACAGTATTAATATAAAAAATAAAATAGTTAAATTTTGTCTCAAATCGGTCCCAACACAGCATAGTGCTGATGTTGCCATCAGGTCTTCCTTTGGAACCGGTTTGGTGTCGCAGGGAACAATAACAAAGATAAACACAACAGAAGTCATTAAAATCATTAGAAACACAATAGAAATAAAATAAAAAAAAGCACACAAAAAAATAAAAAATATCTCCTTCACAACCATTAAAGAAAAAAAAAGGAAAAAAACCCTCTCTGCATAAGCTATGGCAAAGGAAATTTCCAGACCCAATCTCACTATTCTAAACTACTGGCAATATATCAAGAAAATTTTGTTTATCTAGTATAATCCAAAATTCTTAACCCTAGTTATAAGGATTCAAGAAAACGACTAACCGCTTCGAAAAAGATTAAGTAGTGCCGATGCGCTACGCTTGGCTCGTCTTAGCTGAAACACTACCGTGCCCCCAGATAAAGTTTCCAGGTTTCGCATACCTATGGGTGACATATGCGTTTGCGGTTTTGGTATCGATCTTGTGAGGAAATATGTTGTGGATAACAGACACAGTTACAATTGCCAAGCCTATTCAAATGCAGCAACATTAGATATTTTACACACAAATTCTAATTAAGAGAAAAGAAAAAAACTGCATGTAAACGAAACAAAGAAAAAAACTAGATTGATTTAAATAATCTTATTTTATTAGTAGTGACAGCTGCAAAACTTTAGTTACAGTTAGAAAAAGAAAATGACTTCGTATCAATTAACCCATTGAAGAATGGAAAATCCTAACATGGTTCCATAAACGAAAATTTGGAGAGTACTGATTGGAACGATGACGACAGACGTTCCCGATTTCCAACAGATGTCAACAAAAGTTCATTTGGACATGCATGCGCGAACGCAGGCATCCAAAGGACCGGCAAACCAGATCGATCGAATGCGCCGTCAGTTGCAGTGACATGTGACGTATGGACACATTAATTGACACCATTCTCAGTATTACTACAAAAGCGGCTCGTATTCTGTTTATGGTAAAGGCTACTTTAGAGGCCGCGCTACAGTGATAGCTATGCGGACTCGAATCCATATCTCGACAATGGTCCAAAGCTTTAAACCAGCAATGTAAATCTTATTAATATTGTTTATTTTGAAAAACATTTTGGACTTTATAGATTTAAGCTCTCTCCTTTTAATAAAGTCTGTCAATAAACATACCAAATAAAGAAGTGTAATTAGGAAAGAAAAAGATTGCATACATTATTGCTAATAACAGAAATGTAGAAATAATTCGAAATACTTAAGTCAGTAAAGCAAGGGAAAAAAAATTAATCTTACTTGTTATATACTCAATCGAAAATATGAATTTGACCTTTGCCTTTAATAGTAAGAACAAGTAAATATTATCAAACCTATAATAAAATAGCAGGAGAGCCAGATAATGGTAGCTTGTGATGTAAATTGGTCCTTAATCTTTATAAAAACTACCCTCTGTACTTTAGTATCTCGAGAGAAAGCGATGAACATTTTCTATTTCTGATGTTTCTCCGCTTTATATAGAAAGGAAAGTGCTCAATATTTATTTCAAAGATACGCACTGTCTTGCCTTTCGAAGTTAATATAAGATTTTTTGATAAATCTCAATGAGCACTTAGCACAATTAAAAAAAACTATTAACGTTCAAATCAGTTCCAATCAATACATTTATAATAATACATATTTCTTAGAACTTTGGTGAATTGAAATATTTCTTGGTGTTTTGTTTTTTTGTATAATTATAAAACATTAAGTCGATAATTACTGTTTAAGTAAAACAGTACTTCACTTTTTTTGGTAATGTCTCATATTCTCGAAGTAATTTTCTGGCACTTCGCCGGTCGCTACCGCGGAACGTTCGCTGCGCTCGCTCGACTAGTGCATCGTGGTCAGTGTGTCCAAAAAGTACACTTTAGAAGTTGACTTTATTCAAAATTCCTGTAGAACTTTTAAGTTGATTCTATGTTTCTCTTTGTTTCCAGTTTATCGGACAAAAGGATGGTCATACATTACGTGCCTTCACCGCAAGTGGCTCTGTACCAGCTCGCATTTCATAACTCTCAATTCTGGAATATACAGCTCTCATCCAAATATACCAACGACACTTTAGTAGTATGGGCGCCAAGAGACGAACTAAAGAATTGCTTCTACATACTAAGATTTGGAATAAAAATTATTGATATCATCCACGAATACTCGTCTGTAAATCGTTCTTTGGTCACAAGTCCGATCAATGTGGTCGGTATACCAACCTATCTTAATGGTTATGAAATTGCCAGTTGGAATCAACTGACCAACAAGTAAGTAATATTATTAGCTTTCACATTGAAATCATAATGGTAATTCAATTAATCTTGTGCTTTGATGTCGCTATTACTGCTATTATGAGCTGATTTATTACGGGAATTCGATATAAACCTTAAAGATTATGATGAATATAAAATATGATTACACCTTTATAACATGAATTATCATTCAAGCTTGATTTGAGACTTCTGTAGTGCATTTATCCGATGGTATTTACACGAAGAAAAATATGGTCTGACATTTTAATAGCATTTTGTTTGCTCTCAATCTCAATAGTTCATACAATTAACTACCAATTTTGTAATCAAGACCAAACGATTATAGACCTAAAATGGCACAGTGTCAAGTTTTCCAGCTGGATAAGTAAGTTCTATTATTCGACGACCTCGTTGAATGACTGACCTCTTTCAGATTATTGGTATTGTAACCTTGTGGTATCCTTTGTTTTTCCTATATTATATTACATTTAGAAATCTTACGGTTTAAGTCAGTAGTCATTAGGCACAGTGAGCACATTATGATATCAATTCAAATGTTCTGAACAAGTATAATTTATTCTTGTTGTCAATTGTTCCAAAATGGTATTTGTGATGTGTTTGCTTACATGTAGTTGATATCATTTTAGTTCTCAATTTGCCCATAAAAGAAAGTACAAAACAAACTTTAACAGCTTTTGTTTCTTAACAAGCCTATATTTCACTTAAAAAGAAATTATTTATTATCTCTTTTGTTAGTTTCACATCCATTATTGGGAACATTAAATCACAACGGAACTGGAACACGAGAACATTGTTTTCTGGGTAACTGATAATCAAGTTGAACTAAAACAGATATCAACATGACAGTTGAGTTTGGTTAAATCCGCTAATACTTAATTTTACTTTTGCTGCCATTTCTTCAACAACGTTTGTTATTCAACCAAAAAATATGTTTTTTTTTATCATAGGCGAATAATGTAGTCGTCTGTCTATCCACGCGTTATTTTGTTCACGATTCGGGTGTGTTACAGATTTAAACTAAAAAAAAGGTTAATACATTCTTTAGGTAGTACATTATGTGGCACTCGGATATTTCCATATTACTCATGTTGATATTGTTTGTTGATGAATGATAACAATTAATCTTTGCCATAGCTGTTAAAATTCTCTAAAAGACTGAGATTTTTTTGATGTTGGAATTGCGATAATATAAAAATCTGGCCATATATGATGTTGGTGAATGTTATTTGAAAATTGCAACAACCATACTACTTGTTTAATATTCTAGTCGCGAGTAAGTCAACGTATATAAAAACAGCCTAGAATATGAAATAAGATCAAGTGAACCCGTTTTCTATCAAAATGTACATGAACTTAAAAAATATCTTTCAGCATCATCCGAGTCATTTATCTACCAGAGTTCATCAGTGTGAGACAAACGGAGGCGATGAAATTCGAACTAGCTCAGCAGCTGAGTAGGATATGGTTAGGGAACCCCGGGGAGGAGGCCCGAACCCGGTGGAAACAGGAATGGTTCAAAGAAGGAGTGGCTACCTACCTAGCTTATCACTTTTTAGCTCAGGTAATTATAAGTTTTTGTTATTATTAACATCCGCGAGTGGACCGGTGTCAAGAGCTCCGCGTAATTGTTTCACCTCGCCAGGGACAAAGCGAGGTTTTCAAGGCTGATGTCCAACCTTCAGTAATTGGAGAGGAACATGGAGGAAGAAGTTATTATTAAGACTTAAAAATACAAAATATACAGAGTACAGTAAGTAAACCAGACAGTAAAATATTCTGATAAATTTAGACTGCCACACCCATTGCAATTGAGAGCGGCATACCAAAAAGAAGCTGCTAAGCAGTTACTCTTTTTTTGATAGGATAGGATCTGGTCGAAATTTCTTATTAGTCTTCTTCTTCAAGTGTATATATCTACATTAGCTGTATACTTACTTACCTAACCTAAAACTATTAGTAGACGTGGAACTTTTTTGATATCTTTGTACTACTATAGCGATTTATAGACTTTCTTATATGTCATTTGAATATTTCTTCATCTTACCTCTTTCAGTACGACTATGGTGCTCAGCACAATAAATATAAACAGTCTATAGATCATTACGGTATAAACATGAAGCACCTAGCAATGTCCCACGACTGGCACCACAGTACGCCAGCTCTTATTAGCTTTAACGATGAATTGGCTGTGAAAATTCCTTGGAGATATAAAGAGCTGGTGACTATGAAGACGGCATCCCTTCTCTGGATGGTAGAGAACTGGTTGGGGTCTGAGAAGTTCCACCAGGCTTTGGTGAAATATATCAATAGCAGGTAATTTTAAAATTTATCCAGAATTAATCTTGAAATAATGACAGGCACGAGACTTAGAGACATAAATTAAGGTTTAAGTTAATTAACTTCTTTAAAAGATAACTTTCATTTACTCTATTTTCTTAATAATAAAGAAAAACAACGCATAGTTTAGGCATGAAATTAAATTTCGCGTTTCTAAGTATAATCGTGACATGCTTAAAATATTGGCATTTAATAAAAAATGTGTATTGAATCAGATATGAAAAAAATAACTAGCCTTGTCACATTATTGGTAACAAATAAAAAATGTGGGACAATATTCTTACTACTTATTATTACTACCTAAGTTAACTTACTATTATTAAATAAAAGTTATTTTCTATTTCCTAATATATTTAGTTATAATAACTAATTTCAAAGCGTGAGATATGGTATAACAGTATTATCTCGCTCCCAGTATTTGCATCTCATCCTCTAAAAACGACTACCATAGCACTAATTGTGTTTATTGATTATGATAATTCTGATAGCGATTTTTTTCTGCTTATAGTTAAGGATATGATAGTATTTCTATTTTACCTTAAAACAGTACACACTCACTTTCAACACAAATTTGAATTTTTAGAAGAGGAAAATACATATCATTGCAAGACTTCATGCAGAGCCTCGACCACGACACGGTGGAATGTTTCCACCAGTTCTTCAACGGCTCCACCGCATCGAAGATCCTCAACTCTTGGTTCCATCATTCTGGATATCCCGTCATTGAAGTAAACGTCATGAGAGATTCTTCTTCTGAAAATGTTGTACAATTAAAACAAGTGAGTGATATATTTGTATTTTTTTCTGTTTTCTAATAAGATGCAATTATTAGCTTAGCAGTTAGCATGGTTGTTTAAAACGTTTCACCTAATTTAATCTGGAAAATCTGGACTTCATATTTAATTTTTCATCGATAAACTGCAACATCGAAAATATATTTTAAAATAATGGTATAGTTACAAATGTCCATTCGTTTTGATTTTTCAATGAATTTTTTCTACTTTCAGAAACGATTCAGCTTTATTGAAAATAAAAGGCAAGAGACTGATCTCCTCATTCCTATATCGTACATTATGCAAAATATGTCTAATTGCTTTAACTGCTACCAGCCTCGATTCACTATCGGAAAGCAAACCTATACGTTCAAGGAAAATTTGAACAATGGCTGGATCATACTAAATAGTCACGCATCAGGTAAAATCATTATCAATGTTTTCAACATTGCTACCGACTTTTTCTTATAATTATCATGTGAGAGTTGCCCGAGTCTCTTTCTTGGCTATGTTTATTTTAAGAAGCATGCATCCCGAATTTAGACTTTATTTATTACCCTGATAGTTTTTATGACCGCTGGCTCAACGAATAGTTTGTCGCCGAGTATCTATAATAGACGAGACAAAAATAACCGTGGACCTGAAATATTATTTTATGATACACAAAACCTATCTTCTATAGAATGTATGTCTAAAAATCTGTATTTTATCAATAGTTTATTCCAAGTTATGTAATAGAAGGTAACTTCCTTAATTATCGTATATTGAAGTCATGTTTTAAACTTGATAGGGATAAAAAACAGCCCTTACTTAGTTTCTTGACGGTTCTTATCAGTTCTTATAAACTATGGATGGCGTAGCTTCTCGACATTCACAAATGCTTGTAACAGCCTAAAATGTAAAATTCAATTTTATATAAATAAAAGAAAATTAAAATTTTCTAAAAATGTACTGACAATGAGAATTTTCTATTAAACGTTTATGATAATTATTATTTTTATTACGTTTATAATCACGAAAAATAATTAGAAATAGTTGCTAAGCGAAATGAACTTGGATTAGTTCGCGACGACATTGAGTAAGCCTTGGCACTGGTTATTAATAATGCAGGAACTATTACACACCCACACTTCAATCGCATCTAGACCGAAACGAGCGATGATTGCGACCCAGTTGCCTTGTTTCCCATTGATGTTTATAGCTTGAATCATAAATATAGCATAAAATACATAAACCATTCATAAATTCTATCGTTGCTTAAGATGTTTTATAATAAGTTTGTTTGTACAATTGTCTTTATACTACATATAGTCGTGAAGAAGCCATAAGATGAGTAAGCCAACATTTTCTACCAAATAACAAAGCATCAATAATATAATTGAAAATAATAAATGAAACAAAACTATTTCTTAACGAAATTACAGGGACAAGGTATCTGGCATTTAAAATGAGTTGAGTTACAGTTGATTTTGCTTTGCTCTATATTAAATGATTTTGAAATAAATAGAAAAATTCTTGAATAAACGTTGTTAATTTATTTTTATTCTTATCAACATTTATAAAGTTCTGCGATTCAAGGCCCACTTGCCTTGCACTTCTTAAAAAACACTCCATCCTTGTAGATTATTTAAATTCAAACATATGGTATGAGTTTGAACAAACGTTTTTTTTAAAGGCGCTAGTGGGCTTGAATTGTGATATTTATTTTGATTGTGTTTATGCGGCGCGTGAGTTTAAGGTGAATGATTAAACTTCTTCTATTTATCTTTAACTTTTTAGGGCTTTGAAAAGAGACAAAACGAATCTTATTTTTATCTGTAAAAATAACTTCAATACATGTGTTGTAAAGTCATAACATAAAATTAAATTTGGTTCTAAACAGTATTTCTTATACCTATACTTACAAAGTGATGTCGTTCGATACTATTATTGTTCAAATGAAACATTAAAATAGAACTGGCATATTCTAAATTTCTATTTCCGTCCAAGACTTGTATGTATACCCTAAGTGTCGCCGCACACGGGCCACCGCCACAGCCACAAATGCCGCCACGAGAAGCTAGAAGCGGCTACTAAAGTGGCTGAAGCGCGCGACAGCGGCCGACTAAGGCAAGGGAGAGAGGGGTGGGGAAGCGCGAGTGACGTGTGGCAGCGTTTTGTAACGGCGCATTATGTGGCCGGTGCGGGCCACAAGAAGCGAGCAACGACGATTTGTAGCGTGTGGCGGCCACCGGCGTACCGTGTGTGGCGAGTCCATATAAAATGTATGAAAACTACAATAAATATGCCGGTGGTGGCGTTTTGTGGTTGTGGTCGGTGGCCCGTATGCGGCAACACTTAGACATAATTAGACTAATAGTTACTTAAAGTGTGAAATGTTGGGTTATGAGTAAATGATTATTATTATTATTATTTACTTATGAACTGGTATGGAGGAGGTTATAAAGCAATTGCTGATTTACATTTGGTCATTAGCCCGTATTCACGGTGCACGGAAGACATTACTCCAATTTGGGTTCCCGAAGCACGAGTATTTACACTGGAATACGTGCTGGTAGACGGTAAACAAATCGAAAACAACCCGAAAACGGGCATACTCAACAACTCATATTCGAGCAAACGACCAAGTGCACATGAGCCATTATTTATGTCAGTATATAATTTTCAGGTTATTACCGCGTTAATTATGACGAACAAACTTGGAAACTCATAGCTCAGACTCTGAAGGAGAATATGGGTTTGATAGATGAAATGAATAGAGCCCAGGTGAGAATTATCAAAGAGATGGAATATTTAGTAGTGTCTATGTTTTCTCTGCGTGGCAAGTTTTAAACGTCATTTTTTATATGACTTGCAACAAATTATCCCACCCCACCTGGTGTTAAGTGTAAGTGAAGTCCAGTTGCTGATGCGGCAGATAGTGTGCTCCTCCAGCCATCCTCACCTTGCCGGCTTAACCACAATCCCTTACTCCACAAAGCAAAACAAACATGATACAAACAGCTGTAAGAAAAGTCAAATATACCTCTTATTGATTTTATTCTTTCACTGCATTTTGTTTATAATCGATTGAGAAATTATTTCAATTATAATTTAGTCGATGCCTTGCAGCTTAAAGATGCTAGAAGAATTCCCACCCGGCCTTCAGGGTCGCGGTAGCATAATGGTCAGTGCTTTCGCCCGGATAGCGAAGAGTGCGGGTTTGAGTTCCGCATGCTGCCCGGCTCGCGTGCATTTTTACTCTAGTAATATCTTCTGTAAATATTTCAATCTTTGGTAACATATGGCTGACTGTGCATAATAAAATAACTGTCTACCTGCCTAGTGGTTAGAACGACATTTAACGGTCAATATAGATGACGACTAACTTTTTTCTCTGTCTTTCAGGTCGATTATTAAAAAGTATTGGACCCGTATTTTTCTAAATAAATAAATTCTAATTCTTTATTTATTATTAAAAAAAAATTTGATCGTGTGTACAAAAAATTACAGAGATAATATTGGTTTGAAATGTCGCATGCCGTCAAGATTTGTTACAATTGTTACTTAGAATTGACGTCACTTGCCCCCACCCACTCTTAAACTCTGACGCATAGCGCGCTTTTTGGTGCATTTACAAAAGAAAAACTGTGTCTAAGTGAAAGCTTAAATAAAATTTAGTTTGATTTAGCCCGTTATCATCCGTATTTCAAAAATCAAATGGAGTCCGGCATAATAGAGCTTTCTTACCTTGACAATTTAATTATTTTTATAATAATGATTGTTGCTAAGAAACGGATTCAGATCCTTACCTTTTCCTAGAAGTTGTTTATTGAAACTGGACGCAACGGGTACCTTGTGATGTAAAAGGAAATTATTTTTTACTAGAAAAAAAAATCTTTATAACGGTGTCAGGCAGGACTTGAACCTGCGTCTTCCTCTCTAAGCGCTATGCTACGGAGTCATTAATGGTCGTGTCGAATTTCTTCTAGTATTTCTTAACTAAGGCAGCCTCTTTATAAATTGAGCAGATTAATGTTTGTATAAAAAAAAATATATGTACTTAATAAGTTCCAAAATTTTCAGATCGTGAACGATGTGTTCGCTCTGTACGTCTCTGGCGATATGTCTCTGGAATTGGCGTGGTATATTCTCGACTACTTGGATAAGGAGCGTAGTGTTTTAGTATGGGAAGCAGCGATATCAGGATACGAGATGCTGCGTATAGATGGCGCTAACTGTCACATGACCAGAACTCTCTACAGAGAATGGCAGGTGGGTGCAAGTTTTCTGACGTTAATGCTCTGTACGTACCAAGCGATATGTCTCTCCACTTGGCGTGGTATATTCTCGACTATGTGGATAAGAAGCGCAGTGATTTAGTGTGAGAAGCAGCGATGTCAGGATACGAGATGCTGCGTACAGATGACGCTAACTGTCACATGACCAGAACCCTCTACAGAGAATGGCAGGTGGGTGCAAGTTTTCTGATGTTAATGCTCTGTACGTATCAGGCGATATGTCTCTGGACTTGGCGTGGTATATTCTCGACTACGTGGATAAGGAGCGCAGTGATTTAGTGGGAGAAGCAGCGATGTCAGGAAACGAGATGCTGCATACAGATGGCGCTAATTGCCACATGACCAGAACCCTCTTCAGAGAATGGCAGGTGGGTGCAAGTTTTCTGATGTTAATGCTCTGTACGTATCAGGCGATATATCTCTCGACTTGGCGGGGTATATTCTCGACTACGTGGATAAGGAGTGCAGTGATTTAGCGTGGGAAGCAGCGATGTCAGGATACTCGTATCCTAGTATCTCGATACTGCGTACAGATGACGCTAACAGTCACATGACCAGAACCCGTACAGAGAATGGCAGGTACATGCAAGTTCTCTTATTATATTCGGCAAGATACTTTAGATCTGCGTGATTTGAATCAACATTATCAGCATATTAATGTGGTCACTGCTGAAGTACAGGCCTTCAGGAATATTGGGCCGTGACCCACCACGCGGGCCCAGGGCGGTTTGGTGATTGCTAACGACTACAGATGCAGCCGGTACCAAGGCTTAAAGTGCCTTCCGAAGCACATAGGAGCTCAAGATATTAAGTTTTTGATCACCCATTCATTGACTGACAATTGCGGAAGTTGCTTAACTTCCAAGATCGCAAGCCGAGCGCGCTAACCACCAGCGCCATCGAGCTCAACTAGCTGTATAAAATTATTTACAAACCGACCCACTAGGAAACCAAAACTTGACTAATGTTCCCGAAACAACTTCATTAAAACAAAACTACAGAAATGGGCGTGAATACATCGTCAGATAATTTTATTCCTTTTCTCATACTTTCAGAGTTTCTTGCGCATGAAAGTGCAGTCGATTTACAAGATTCTGACGAACAGCATCGAGCAGCAGCGGAACACTCGTTTGTTCCGGAGTAGGATCATCGAATTCGCGTGCTCCATCAATTACGACAAGTGTTTGAACTACGCCAACCTTCTAGTGAATCAATGGAGACACAAGAGGACAAGGTGATAATTCTTTGTTTGATATATTTTCGTTTTTGGTTGCTATGTACTGTGGAGATCATAAAGTCTTTAAAATATCGCGTGAGGCGGGTCGTCATTATTAGTAAACAGGGGATTTAAAATAAAGACATTTGGTGGTAACATCTAAAATAATTAAGTTTCATTAGGATTTTTCCTTCCGGGGTATGTTGGGCCAAAGGTCAGAACGTCCAACGTGACATAATATCCGGATGTTATAAAGACCGTTAGTCAATATATACAAGTCTCTGAATGTCCAAGAAGTCATAATGTCTAATGTTATAAAGACCGTTAGTCAATATATACAAGTCTCTGAATGTCCAAGAAGTCATAATGTCTAGATGTTATAAAGACCGTTAGTCAATATGTACAAGCCTCTGAATGTCCAAGAAGTCATAATATCCAGATGTTATAAAGATTAATAGTCAATGTGTACAAGTCTCTGAATGTCCGAGAATTCATAATGTCCAGATGTTATAAAACCTATTACAAGTGTCTTTTTTAGTTACTTGTGGTATTATTGTTCCTTAATCGAAATGGCAAAAAGTGAACCCTTATAGATTTATCACTTAATTCCCGTATTTTACAGGCATTTTACTGAAAAACATAAATGACACGAAGATACGCTCTTTTGCTAATGCACTTTTTTTATCTCTCAAGATTTACCCCAAAATGAGCATGGTATTACCCTACGATTGGTGAGCGGAAACCATCTGTATTACTGATCTTTGTTGGGGTTATTTGTGTATATTCTGATCAATTCCGAAATTTTACACAAATGTACGTGTATAAATATAAAATCTTTCTATTTTATCGTTTGCACCGTTTCTTACCCTAGCCCTATCCCTACTTCGTGGAGTCCTGAATCCTTACTCGCAAACAGAAACACAAAATCACCAGAAGGTGAAATCAAAAGTTTAATTTTATGAATATCTTTTATAAGGTAGAGATATTCGCCAACAGAACCACAGAATTAGATAGGGAGTGTTATTTCATTGAGTACGATACATATTATTTCATGGACACTCTATTAAGGTATTTTACAAGTTTTAGAAAAAGATTTCACGCTATTTCCTAATGTTTATGGAGTCCATACAAAAGTGGACAATCATCATTCTGTGTTTATCAGTAAAACAAAACTAAATCTGAAATTCAATTTTCACATTGCCGCGAAAACGTCTCACCGGATATTCTTCTTTTTGTTATGGCATCCCACTAGTATGTGACGTCACACGACTGTCATAAAAACGTCAAAGGGTACAATGTAATGTCACTTTGCCCGGAAGTTTACTAGCGTGTGACGTCACTTTATTCTTCGCCAATCCCAGGCGTTTTCGGCCACGAGACCATAGAACAGAAAATTCATTTCTATTCAATGATTTTTTAGTTTTTTTTTTCAATTATTTTTTTCCTCAGAATAGTCAAATTGCTGATATTATATTTATTTTAGACACAGATGCCAACCATTGGTACTTTATTTTTCATATTGTTAAATAGCCTATTCTAACGGCAATAACTTTTTACAATTACTTTGTCATATAAAGTATAAGTGATTGTATCTCCTAATATCTTCTTCTTCTTCTTAAGTAATCGAATCAATATTTGTTCCAGAATTGATCCGGATGCTCGACCTGCGTGCTATTACGTCATTTATGAATCTCTCGACGGGTTCTCTAGCGCAGATACTTTCAATGCCTACGAATCTGAAGACAAGAGTTACGCAGAATACGTTCAGTAAGTACTTTTATAGGTTGTTCGAGATGTCGCTTACTCTAAAGTCCTGGGTTTAAATCTCGATGGACCAAATGTTTGTTTGATGAATACGAGCATTTGTAACAACGCCACCATGTGGGCTCGGTGCGGATTTTTGGGTGCTAATGATTGAAGATCTTAATCAACCAATCGATCATCATCTCGGTACCAGAACCCTTAGCTCGACCCTATATCGAATTCGTTGCGTTTGCAAGTGCGAATCGTTATTGCTACGTTTTGTATGGGAACTTGACTAGCGCCACATCGGACGTAGAGAGAATTAAAAATCAGTACCACGAACTTCTTGACATTTGATTTCACTTTTCGAATTCGGCAATGGTTCGTGCTTAGGGCACAGCTTCTCCCTTTGGATCAAAAATTTTCCTATCAGATTAATTCTTTCTTAAGCGTAGAAATGTACCTTCACATTGAATCTTTTATCGCATTTGTCATGCTCAAATAATAAATTTTTGATTACCCACTCTGTGACAGGTCATTGTGAAATTTGCTTAACACTGCGTCATTGAATTCCCTTAGTATTTTTTTCTTCTATTTTACGGCTTTTTCTGCAGCTATTTTATTCTGCTAGCGGATTTTTTTTCAATTTAATTCGTTTTTTTATTTTTGTTTTTATTCGCACTAAATGCTAATATGATGAACGCTTCATATGAAATTAATTCTTTTAGCGTTTAGTGATCATGATTTATGGGACAATTTTTTTTGTTAAAAGTGCACTTTTAAAATTTCGCGTTGCATTATACATATTACATTTAAAAGGATTATGACGCTCACTTTATTAAAGGTTATCGTACCCTTTTTAATGAAGTGCGTTATAAATATTTTTGTTTGATGAATACTTGCATTTATCTATCTGTTAAGTAAAAGTGTCCAACATTTATTATCTATCATCGATGGTTTGTAAGTCCAATGTCACTAAGTGATCGGATGATGACGAACTTTTTTTTTCGTCTATCAGATAGATTATCAAAAAGTATTGGACACGTATTTTTTCTTTATTCACATAATCAAAACATCACAGAGATAATATTAGTTTGGTATGTCGCATGACCTCACGTTTATGTACCTCATTTTTTTCTTAGAGGTGAAGGGCCTACTCCCAAACTTTACAAAAAGTAATTGTCTTCTATTTTTTTGATAATCGTACTCACGGTTTAAATAGATTTTTTTAAAGTTACTGCGTCATCATGCCTATTATAATAAACATATTTTTATTATACATTGTATTAATTTAGTGTAATAAAAACTAATTTTAGTCCATGGTTATATTTTGTCGAATTAATATTTGCAGCCGAAGAGAAAGTAATTTCCTGAAGAGAATACCCATGGGTGAGCAGAGACCTAGTAATATTACAATGTCGACTATGAAACCGGTAATAGCGGTGAGTATAAAATATACGAAACAATACTAGCAGAAATTCGATACGGCCATTAAGTTTGTGGTAGCACAATTGGTCAGTGCATCCACCTGGATAGCGGAGGGAGCGGGTTCGATTCCCGTCTGCTTCTTGGATATGCTGACTGTGTTTTATATGGTCAACTTGCGAAAACTGTTTTTGTTGTAGGGATCTTTGAAATTTTGTTGTTTGTGTGTGTTTGTATGGGGAAACATTTTTTTTCGCGCAGACGAAGTCGCAGTAACTCGCTAGTTAAACAGTCACCATCCATCTGCCGATGGTTTTTTTTCCAGAAACCGTGATAATTATGTAGACATTTGATAGTGTATATTTCAAATACCTTTATCATCAGAATATAATAAAAATACAAATAAATGTTAAAAGTTATTCATCATGGTTATCATACCATTTAATTTTTAAACTGACTTCAGAAAAAAGAATGGTAGATTATTATTTTAAAACTGCTTTTCAAATTTGGATAAGGTTTTCCGTATATCGGGAAAAGTTTTGTTTCAGCGTATGATATACTAGCGCTGTGACACGATCTCACCCACATTTCTATCCACCTATGCTTGAAAATTTTCCGACCAGTGGCGACTTCTGTAATACACTAAAAATGGAAAAATAAAGTAATTTTTAATTAAAAACATAACCGAATTTTAACAAAAACGAAAATAAAATAAAAGAATTACCGACATATATAATTTTTATTATTTTAATGCATGTAACTGTTTGATGTTTAAATCTAAAGAAAATATAACTAGAAAAAATTCCACGCGGAGCAGGCAGCAGACGGGACTCGAACCCGCACCCTTCGCAATCCGGGCGAATGCACTGAGGGCCGCGGTAGCATAATTGGTCAGTGCATTCGCCCGGATTGCGAAGGGTGCGGGTTCGAGTCCCGTCTGCTGCCTGGTCCGCGTGGAATTTTTTCTAGTTATATTTTCTTTAGATTTATACCGACATATATATTTTAAGACGAATACCAAGCCATGTGTTTAGCAGGGAGATCATGCTAATGGTATCGAACTTCGGTCCTATTTTTAATTAAAAAATATTAATTTATAGAAATAACTGGAAATGCTTAATATAGTAAGTTTTTCGTTACTAACATGTCTTTTTGTAATTTTTACAGTCAACCCAAAAGAGCCCACTCATAGATGACCACACAGACAAATCACACCATATTCAATCTTCAGTAATTATTTTAGTCTTAGCAATATTGAGTGTTATTCTAGTGCGATAAATTGTGTTACATAGAAATCTCCATACGTTTTGCAAAGTTAAGGCCTAAAAATTGATGTTACGCCCAGGTAGTTATCAGCCCTAATTTGTATCATCATCAGCCTATTAATGTCCCCACTGCTGGGGCACAGGCCTTCCCTACGGATGGAATAGGGAGATTGGGCCATGACTCACCACGCGGGCCCAGTGCGGATTGGTGGGTGCTAACGACTGCAGATGCACCCTTGACCAACGGCTTAACGTGCCTTCCGAAGCACGGAGGAACTCGAGATAGAAGATTTTTTGGTCACCCATCCAATGACCGACCACTGCGAAAGTTGCTTAAATTCAACGATCGCAGCCGAACGCGCTAACCACTTGCGCCATCAAGCTCCTCAATCCTAATTTTTATGTGTTTATATAAATGTTATATTTCTTTTTCAATATAATAATGGGTACATTATCATTAATAATGTCCCTGGTGCTGGGGCAGAGGCTTTCCCCATGGATGGAATAGGGAGAAAGGGACATACCCCAAAACGCGGAAAAGGGCCATTATTGGTTTCGAGTTTCGACGTCCTCCTTGGCCGAGTGTTTTATACGCCGGATTTCAAGGTGTCGCCTACTCGAGAGGTCCCGGGTTCGAATCCCGGCGGGGGCAAATGTTTGTGTGATGAATACGGGCATTTGTACTCGTCATGGATGTTTGGTATGTATTTCTATGTAAATATAGGTACTCGTATATGTATCAGTATACGCATTCTATCCGTTACCCTAGTATCCCTTAACATAAGCCTACGGTGCTTACTTTGGGGCGTGGCTTATTGGTGTGAGTGTTGGAATTATTTATATTTATTTATTTTAATGGTGAGTGCTAACGACTACAGATGCAGCCGGGACTAACGGCTTAACGTACCATCCCGAGCACGGAGGAACTCAAAACAATAAAATTTTGGCCACCAATCCTGTGACCCATCCTCTCAGTTTAAAAACAGTGTTTCAGTTAAAGAGTTTTTAAGCAACATGCATCATTTACGCAAACTGCAAGTTTTATCAAATGATATTCTATAACGACATGTACCTATAATTTATCTTTTTTGCTTTAGTAACTAATAAAGCAAATTAGTTATTATGAACTAAAGAATAAAAATAAGTATTAAAATATTAAACATCGGTCAAAAGTTCAAAAGTTCAAAAAAGCTCATTTTACTTAGAATTTTGATAAGAATATATTACTTTAAGCTTCTCAGTCCGATATGTTTATAATTGTAGCAAACTTTTATGAAACCGAGCCGGTCATATTGGGCATATAAATATTATACTTTCAAACATTATCCAAAATACTATATTAATCAAACATACATTGAGTAGCTCGATGGCTTAGGTGGTTAGCGCGTTCAGCTGCGATCGTTGAAGTAAAGCAACTTTCGCAGTGGTCAGTCAGTAGATGGGTGACCAAAAATCTTCTATCTCGAGTTCCTCCGTGCTTCGAAAAGCACGTTAGGCCGTTGGTCCCGGCTGCATCTGCAGTCGTTAGCATCCGCCAATCCGGGGCCATGGTCCAATCTCCCTATTCCATCCATAGGGAAGGCCTGTGCCCCAGCAGTGGGGACATTAATAGGCTGATGATGATGATGATATTAGTCAAAGCAGGCTTAAGTGATAAAAGTATTTTATTTTTTAATGTTACATTTGAATTAAGAAATAAGGTTTGTTTTGTTTTCTTTGGTTTGTATCTCTTATCTAATAGACAAGTCCGTCCGTCCGTCCGTGGTGCTGTTTCAGCGGCCAAACCGTAAGAGATAGATAAAGAGAATGTTTAAGTTATAAGTTGAGAATAGTCTGATAAGACTACAAACCGGATGTGAGTAACGTAGCACTTCCGGTTTTCGAGAAATCACGTGATTTCTATTTCAAACGAAACCACACAAAATCTCCGAAGTTCTCAATTAATTAAATACATTTTTTTTTTGGTGAACATTTGGTTCACTGGTTTGCTAGTTTTATATAATGTTAACTTACAGCATGACACATTCCTGTTCAAAATTGTTAACAGTATCGAAGTCTTTCAAAGCATTTGAATGATGTTTAACATTTTGTTATCGTTGTCCATGTAATCAACATATTGATTCTTCTTCTGACTACAAAAAAAAAAAATATTTATTAAAAATTTATGGTACCGAAAACTTTGTATTGGTACCTAGTAAGTTTGAATTGTGTTCATGTTAAATCACTTGTTTAAAGGACCAAGGACTGTGATTTACTCTATAAATCTCTTCAAAGTCTACTATCTCTTGTTTATGTCCGTAATTAAGTTTGTAACAACTTCTCGTAACTGCCATTAATGTCTCTAGTCAATAACTTTTACTAACAACAAGTCCGATTAAGAACCGAATCTTTACTCCCTTACTTTTCTGCACCATATCCAGGTATTTTTGAAGTGACACTTCTTTCCGTACGTTTGACTTGGGAGGTAAGCTGGCGAATGCGTTACGCGTTACGAAAAGTGTGTTCGGGCGAGGCGAACGGGAGTTGAGTGGGGGATATAAGCAAGAGAAAGCAGTGCGCGCGCACATTTTCTTCCTCTCTTTCTCTTATAGCTATTAATAAAATATTTATATGTACATACATATATACATATCGACCGATCCATAGAATAAAGCTACTTCTGCATAATCACAACTTTACAGTAGAGCGATTTTAAGTTTGTAAAATGTATAATATGCTGCAACTTGTATTGGTATTGTTCTATCATTTGAATTTTTTTACTATTCATATAAAGCATTAAGAAGCAAATTATGACGCATTTATTGTTTAAAAAGAAACTACATTTACATTACTACGTTTCTTATGTGATTATGTGACAATTTACTACGGACATCTTTATGTTACATATGCATATCAGACCTTTTGCTTGGGAAACGTGTCAAATTATGTGTAGATATAACTTTGTTTTAGGTAATTTATATTTTCTGTCGCGTCACATTATGATAATATGGTAAAGATTGGGCAAAATCGATCGAATAAGAAAAATAGAATCAAACATTTAGTAAAAATTCTCAGTTTATAACAAAATTGAAGCCGTGCAGGCAGCGTTCTTGCCTATCCAAAAGGTTCTTGTGCTCTTGGCTCTATATTCTTCGGAAACAGAAATCACATGTATACCTTTATTCAATTGCTATCTTCAAAGTTATATAAGTTTTAGGATGATTGTTTTTACCAGTAGTAGCAATTTGGTAACATTTCCATATGTAACTTTATTCTATGCATAGGTCGATATATTGTACACACATACACAAACAGATACAGATGTGTACAGTGCATATAGATGGAGCTAAAGAAGTTTCACTTCAGTCGTGTGGTCATAAGCATACACGTTTTTTGAAAGAGACAGGACTAAATTTTACGGCAGATGAGGAAATATAAGATGCGAAATTTATACAAACTTGTTATAATATATACGTGTACAGTGTTTCCAATGAAAAATCTAGTAAATTTCATAATGTAATTTAATCGTATATTATATTATTGTTGTTTTTATTACGATAACTATTATAACATTTACATGTCGTTAAGATTAATTTATTACTTATTTAATTTATACAATTTAATTATAAGATAAGATAAGATGTCTAAAATACAAATTAATGTGCCTTAATATCTATATTATGAAATAAGACAAGTCAAATTTGAAGCAAGAGGACGCGTTTGCTTCAAATTCACAAGTTATAAATCAAACATTAAATAAACAATTTAATAATATTTATGTTTTATTTTATTTCTTAACTTAAAACTTCAATAAAAATGAATAAGTACCTAAACTAAACCCTTAACAATATGAGTGAAAATGCAGTAAAAAATTATGACTAAATACAATTTTAATTAATTTTAGAATATTGTTTTACCCCTTAATAAACTAATTACATTTAATTAAAGAAAACGTAACTATTTACATATTAATAAAAAATCAGTCAAGCAAACTAGGTCACAACTACTAAAGATGTATGAAGATTTAAACTTCTTAAGCAAAACTAAAGATAAATAAACTTGCGCAGTAGACTTTTTTCTATGTAAAATTACTACTGCGCAGGCTATATTGTCTATGGTCGTTGCTCAAGTAATCTGCTGGGATGTATTTTTTGTATTAATACGAAAGGATAAACATTTTTTTTTCTTCATTAAATCGTACTGAACATACTAAGGGAAACTTTTATAAGCACTTCTATGCAATTTATTTATAATTCTGTCTAAATCAGTGAGAAGATAGTGATGATGAATTCAGCTCATTTTATTCAGACGTACTTGTCCAATAAACTTACTGGACTTCATTGAATTAGTCAACTGACTAATTTATTTCACAATAAATTTTACATCAGTAGGTCTTTGTTCATATATATGAATAGTTAGTTTAATCAAAATTTGATCTTATAGAGAATTGGACCCAGTGTAGAAGACTGCGTATACAACTATAATATTATAATTATAATAAGTATAATTACATTTAAAAGTTCACTTTGTGCAATTCATTTAAATAACTACGCAATCAAACTATAGCAATAGCATTTGCAACTATAAAATACAATCATAATAAAATAATAAGATATCTATAACTATGAAATATAATCATAATAAAATTATAAGCTATCTATAACTATAAAATATAATCATATATGTTACACTATCTACCTAAGTGCTCACTTTGTGCAATTTCGAGCATTCATTAAACATAATGTTTTCTATTATTTTATAAATCTAAACCCTAAATCAATTCATTAATGGTAAAAATATTATTCTTGTAGTAATATAATCAACAATTCCCGTTACAGTTGCATGTGTAACAAGATGTTAATATTTATATGTATACACAGGCACAGATGACATTTATTTTATATTCATGAGATATTTTTTTTGTAAAATTAGACAATTTTCAATCTAATTCCACTAAGGTACTATTATAATAATAATTATTTTGATTCTTATAATGTTTCCTCACATTGGAAAAGTAAAATTATCGTTTGATTATATTCATTATATTCGAGAAATTTCATTATGGTTATATTATCCACAGGTGATTCACTATAGAAAAATTCTGTTTCACAATCGACATCAAAAGTGGTTATCAAGATTATGCGATCTTTTTGTATCAATACAAAAGAGAAAAATGTGGTATCAAGCTTATCGTTATCATTGATATGATTTTTTTGTGACATCTAACAAAATAACTCCATCCTGACATCTGATAAACTGAAGTGATGTGAGTACTTACTATTTGTGAGAAATTTTAAGCGTAGGTACTTATCTGTGCCACGTTCCAAAAAAGGAAAAAATAAACTTCCAACACTATTTTATATAATAGCAAAGAGTTCTTTTTGCCTTTAAAATACATTTTAGTATACTAATTATTATGTACTTAGTACTAAACCAGCACCATACCCCTTGATAACTAAGTTTTTTTTTCTTTCACTTAAAATATTAGTCGATAATATTAAATCGTAAAGTACATGTAAGCTAAACCTAGCGAACATCCCATACCCAAGATTAATTATATAGATACTCGTATATTATTTACTATAAAAAAAAATTAGTCGAGTCCTTACATATAATGTACAACGATATATTACAAATAAAATAAAACACATAATCCTAATAAAATCAATAAAAAAAAACCTATTCTTGCTATTTATTATTTCTAATTTCTTTAAATTTATGTTTTTTAAAGCAAACAAGTAAATAAGGTAACCAAGTAGGTACCAGGTGCCTACTTTACAAAATTCTTCACTAGATATCAAAACTGTTCAATTAAATCCGTAAATATTTGCTTCATCAAATTTTAATGATTTAAATCTCTCTTTGGGCAAATATATATTTGGTATTGACGATGAAGATGAAGTTGTAATGACGTAAAATGAAACTTATGAAATTTTATTTCCTTATAGACTTGTGTTATATCCAGTATAAAGGAAATTGTTAGCCTAAATTTATAAACAGAGCACTGACGCACAAATCACAACTAATCTTGTACAAATCCATTTGGTTATGTTATGTAAAACGCAAACCTAACAATTCTTCACTTGAATGTATTGCATTAACTTAGCTAAACAAGGTAATGAAAGCTGTCATACAAAGAAGAAGCATGGATACAGCAGCCGTCGTGGCATCATTCTGTTCCATCCAATCGTAGACATCTTGGAGATGACGGTCAGACCAAGCGATGTTTTCAGTAATGATCTCCTGTACTACATTTGCCGCATTTTGAGAGTCTTGTAAGTTATGACTATTGCCCCCAAGCCAATTACGGAACTGAAAATTGTTGAAAAAATATACTTAAATGTTGTGGTCATAATAACTACCTAACGCAGCGTACGCCATTAATCTTAAAAGTAGTTTGATTACTACAAGCCAAAGTCCAACACTTTAATATATGACATTTTTGAAGAAGAAGTCTTGGCACCGGGCCAGTCATTTATGACAAGAGGAAATATAGATTTTTAATAACAAATAATGCAAAAGCGAAAGCCTTTGACGCGAATAGCACAATTCTTTCTTCTCGGCGAAAATATGCAGTATGTCGTACACAGAGGACACGTACGAAATTCAGTCACAGGTTTCTTAAATTTTTAGGTCCCTATTTATACAATCAAATTAATAAACTGTTGAATATTTACCCATTACCCAGGTTAGTATGTAAAGAAGTTATCTATAGGTGGCTTCAAGCAATGTCATATGAAGAAACCGAAAATTTTATAAATATACTAACTTGAATAATTCAAACAGATACATACACGTATGCTACAAATACTAAATAGATCCGCACTTAAACACATATACACAAACACACACACACACACACACATACATACACATACACCCACACATCATTTTCATACATTACATATTAATTCAAATATTATACTCATAGATGCCTTGCTTTTAAAATGACCTACTGATCTTTTCATTTATGAGATCTTTATTTAGTCTAGTTTAGTATTCTCATGTCTGTGGGGGTCTATGGCGCTGAATGCTGAAATACAGGCATTGCCTAGTTCAGCAGCAGAGGCTAATAAATTATACTTTCTGTAACTAGTGCTAAGTTTGTTACGTAATCTTACTGTACTGATTTTTTTGGTCAATAAAATCTTATTATTATTATTATTACCATTATTAATCGAATCAACAAATGTTGCTTGACATTACTTGAATGCTTGGTAGACTCTGCATGAATATTACTTACATCTGTGGCCATGTCGTTTTCTACGATGTTATTAGCAAGTACAAATAGAGCTTCTTCCAATTTCGCACTTCCACCGTAACTGAAAAAAACAGAATTTGTTTGTAATTTCAACTAGCAATGATTGGTCTGCGCGTATGGAAGCAAAACAATATGAAGTAATAATAATAATAATTTTATTTACTTTCTTCCAAAACAAAACGGAGACTTAAGGCTAGAAAATTGTGGGAGACATGATTCCAATATAGGAAAACCCCGTGCCAATGAATCATCTGGTCCTCACCTCTCGAAATATTATAAATTATCTATTAAGTAGGAATTTATTTTCATCGAACTTTATAAAAAGTTCAATGAAATTTATATTAGTCACTAAATATAAATTAAGTGGACTGTCGCTTAAAGAAATCGCCAAATCCGTATCAACTTATACAACTACAGTATACTTGAAACTTTAAAATAGAAGCTATCGTTATTAATCACCGTCTTAGTTCCTTCAAAAGCGTCTTATGTTGTCATAAAAATACTGTTAATTTTAGAATACTAATTTTATACTAACTGTTGTCTGATATCATTGGTGTTTTCTCTTAAGAACCTTAATGCTAATTTAGCATTGTTGTAACTGCTTTCCGCGATGGCTGTGAATATTCTAAACTTTTCTGCTATTGAATATGGGCTATCATCTGAAATTGTTTCCCCTAAGTAACTGGAAAAGAAGCAAAAGTTTATGTAAATACATTATTTAAAAATAAAAGATGTACACAAAGACATCCTTAACGAAAAACAGTTTTACTTTCATTTATGGTATTATGTGGAACACTCGGTTGGAACAAAGTTAAACCACCATGCTTACCGTAGCTAATTCCAAATAGGGCAAAACCTACTATGTTAGAAATGACGGAAGACAAAAACTACCATTGTTATTTTTTATCTACACCAAAACTACTCCTATTATTACGTTAACCCTTAATTTACCCGGTAGGTCCCTGGGACTCCATTGAAAACTTTCCGCGCTCATAGATGCAAACCATGTTCTTTTTTACTTTTTATAAGAATTGTTTATATTTTTGTTATATTTCTTTGAAAATTACTTTATAATATTGATTTGTATTTGTTTCTTAGGTTTTCACGCACATCACTCATTAAATAAAACTAGTTTTTACGGGTTAATGCACGAAACTTTATTTATTTATTGACGTTTCGCGGCCTTTTCAGGTCTGCATCGTCAGAATAATGATTTTATTTAAAATTGTCGAGCTACCTTCGAAAGAATTATATTGTGCGTTCGGTTATTTCATTGGAAGATTTTTAAAATTTTTTGTCTATGTATGAATTTATTATTTAATTTATTTAATAAAGTATTTTATTTAAAATTCTTGTTTGTAATTTTGAGTTTATTTATTTGACCCTAACTACCGTAAACTACCACCGGTTCCAAAATTGGGAGACCTTCCTGAGAAGAACCGGCGAAACAAACTCAAGAGAGGCTTTCTATCTCCTTCTTATGTTAAATTATGCAAACAAAAAGAACTAATAGTATCTGATGGTCTTGCAGTGTGTGCTCGGGGTTGGGATTTTATCTCCTGTATAATAGGTTCCCAAGCTGGTGGTATATACCAACCATCTTCCCATTGAAATTTGGATATTTTTTAATCTCAATAGCCTCGCGCATCATTCGAGGAACGAACCGCCACTCAGCTGCAAGGATCTGTGGTCTATCAAATCTAATGTAGTGGTTTGGTCCCCCTAATGCATGTTCACACACTGCAGATTTATTTTCGCGCGTCAATAAATAATTAAAGTTTCGTGCATTAACCCGTAAAAACTAGTTTTATATATTGATTTGTTTTTGAAATGTTGACTGAAATTAGAAGGTAGGTGTCTAAATTTTGTTACAAAAAGCGCGATTATCTAAAAGTTCCTTAATAAAAGACTGTGATTGTATGATTTTAAGTAAAAAGTTAAGATAATGTAAAACCAAATATATAAAAAGCAAATTAAAGTAGCATTTCATTTAAAAAAATGGTTTATATCCTATTATATTTACGATTTAAGACCCGGGAGTCCTGGGGACTCCACCGGATAAAATGTGTATGTATGAAGTCACCGGGTAAACCAAGGGTTAAACAAAAACCGTTTCTTACTACAATAGTTCATGAAAAAGCCATCAACGCCAAATATAAACATCAATTTTTTTGCAACCACTTACCCTTCTATAAATCCTTCATCGTGAGAACACGCTAGTGATTCCAAAATAACAACGCGATCGTGCATTGTTCTGGTTTCACTATCTTCTAGAAGTTCAAGTAACATCTCCCTCACATCTTCTTCACCCTCTCGTACCATCGCGCAATAAATGGCAGGTCTCAAATCACGGGGAATATTTGGATTACTAATATTTGAGAAAAGGAATAAAAGTTAGGTTAAATTAAAAACAAAAAATGTACAAACTCATTTGGAATTAAATTATAATATAATAATAAAACATTATAACAAGAAAATCAATAAAAAAAACAAACAAAAAAATCTTCATGATTTTAAATACCTACTTTCTAGTAAAGTAAAGTTTGACACTACATAATGTTAAAAAAAAAGTTGTAAGTAATTTACTATTAAAATATGATATGAACATTATGATGAGACTGAAGATCTTATTAGGTAAACTATGTACTTATTGTATGTGTGTGTACATACGCACACACACACACTCTTATACGCACAAACTCACACACTAACACACGACACACACACATAAAGTTGGTTCGCAAGATGTATGGCCATTGAGTTTTACTTATCTGGGAAGAACCACTAACTCCTGAGATACGGGACATGTCCCAGTTTAGAAATCTGAGATTCACATTGTTTAGAGAATATTTACTATAATATCGATTAATTATAAAAATGTAAAACTAATGTTAATCTATAATTGTATTCATCATCATCATCAGCCTATTTATGTCCCCACTGCTGGAGCACAGGCCTTCCCTATGGATGGAATAGGGAGATTGGGCCATGACCCACCACGCGGGCCCAGTGTGGATTGGTGGGTGCTAACGACTGCAGATGCAGCCGGGACCAACGGCTTAACGTGCCTTCCGAAGCACGGAGGAGCTCGAGATAGTAAATTTTTTGGTCACCCATCCAATGACCGACCATTGCGAAAGTTGCTTAACTTCAACGATCGCAGCCGAACGCGCTAACCACTTGCGCCATCGAGCTCCTTAATTGTATTCTTGCTAAATAATTATTATTATTAGTATAAAGTAATTAGCGGGATTGTTATCGTGTAACTTTTTCAGTTACAACGTGATCATGGCACTTGCATCAGTGCCAAAAATTAAATAGCAATCCACCTAATACCTTACTATAATTCCCACTGCCACCTTATTTCCTATATAATGTTAGTAACTATTAAAGTTTAGAAGAACATAATTTATACTTACACTCCATTATCGAGATAAAACCAGTCAATGGCAGCTGCTATGCAGGTCTCGGAGCCCGCTCGGCATGCATGGTCCATCACCATACCCCGAGTCAAAGTATCCATGGACGGTTCGACACGATTCTCAGCTCTGAAGTCTAGGTCATTTTCTACGGTACTAATGATCCTTCGAACTATTCTCTATAAAAATATTATTTACGACGACATTACAAACGGAATACAGGAAAGAAGAATTGGTATTTCTTCTATTGAAAATTGTGTAGGTGACTCTAGATATTGTTTAATACTGCAGCGGTCAGCAAAATAGGCATTGATGGACGAAAATCAATGCCTAGTTGTGGTCAAGGCTTGTAGATATCATCATCAGCCTATTAATGTCCCCACTGCTGGGGCACAGGCCTTCCCTATGGATGGAATAGGGAGATTGGGCCATGACCCACCACGCGGGCCCAGTGCGGATTGATGGGTGTTAACGACTGCAGATGCAGCCGGGACCAACGGCTTAATGTGCCTTCCGAAGCACGGAGGGGGTCGAGATAGTAAATTTTTGGTCACCCATCCCATGACCAACCACTGCGACAGTTGCTTAACTTCAAAAATCATAGCCGAACGCGCTAACCACTTGCGCCATCGAGCTCCTCTGTAGATATACTTTACGAGTAGATATACTTTCCTCAAATAATGTGAGGAAATTCAAACTAAGTAGTACCTAGGCAGAACTTTTGATGTTCTGGAAAATCAATCACGAACAGCGAACCACTATAATTATTCCCGTCTTAAGCGTTCATTTGTTTTTTTTTCATAAACACCTTTCTATTTCGAAAGGAGATTGGTCAAATTGGCCTAAATGCAAATAAAATATTGACATATACAGTAATTCTTGGCGTAATTTATACTTTATTTAACAGTCATTAGATTTTAACGGCCACCTTTAAATAATATATTAATTTTAAAAAAGGACTTCTATTTTTACCGGTTTGGAAAACATACGAATCATTTTTATTGGCTATGTGTAGTAACATTCACAAAGACTGATCGAGGTTGTTTATATAACATCAAAACAAATCTATTTTGTAAAGATTGATAAAATATATATTTTTTTTATTACACGGGTGGTATTAATATCCACAACTTTATTATCATTTTTACTACATGCAAATGTGCGAAGACAATTAATATAGAAGGTAGGCGACATCATAAAGTCTATTGCCGTACATTTTTTGCCAAACACCTAAATAAACACATTCTAAGGTGTGATACACTAAAAATCTAAAATATGGTTATAATAGAAACATAACAAAAATAATGAAGCTGCTGAAGATATGGCTGTATAACCTACAGCTCTTAGCTTTCTTTGATTAACGAGAGTTTAAAAATTCTCTCTAATCTGTGGCTCATTCACAATCATCACACAGTTTCTGTTCGTGTTTTTAAAAACATGCACATATCTGTTATTTTACATGCTCTATATACCTGAATCTAATACATAATATCGGTAGGTACTTGGCTTGATTGCCCTATTTTCCTATATAAGTTATTTGGTTTTTATTATTCTAATACCTATGTGCCTATTTGCAAACATAACCTCAAAATCATTCAGTGTATACGGTTTATAGAAGTTCTCAGGAGTGGCCGTCGATAATATTCGTTTCTACGGTAATTTATATATAATTTCGAATGTAGGAAACAATTTTTCATGGTTATTGGTTTTTAGGCCAAACATGTATGGAAGCTGAGCAATCTCCTTTAAACACAACATTTGATAAGTTACTTTCTTGGTGGCCATGATTCGGACTAAAATATCGTTCCATTTTTAAATAATATGACAGATATGATTATAATAATTTGGCCGCTAAACACGACAGATATGGATTTTCATACAAATTTTGCCGGCCGCTGCTCGCCTGATGTGACCTGCACGAACCTTTATCAAATTCGAATAGTTTGCGGGTCCTAATATCAATGTCAAAATTTGTATGGAAACTTGAACATTAGCGCCACAAAGTACGTAAAGAGAACTAAAAATCAGTACACATTTGACAATGACATTTCGGACTCGCAAACGTTACGAATTCGTAAATTAACAGTAACGTACAGCAATTACGATTTAAATCGATGAATGTTGTTAAAATAATGCTCACATTTCCAATCATGTTTGAGAAAAAGTATAATCAATTTAACACGATGAATATTTAATGGTATTACTGTATTGTTAAAAAAGGCTTACATTATTATTACAAATTGATGCGTAGGTACCCAAATTAATTAGTACCCGTTCTTTTATTTATTTATTTAAACTTTATTGCAAAATTACAAAGCAAATGGCGGACATAATGCCATAAGGCATTCTCTACCAGTCGACCAGTAAGAGCGTGAGAAAAAATCTAATATGACGGGGGCGCAATAAAGACAAATTTAAGATAAACCAATGATATAAATACTCTTAACAGAATACATACATATTATACACACACATATAAATATACACATATACACACATACATACACACTCATACATATATACAATACATACATAAATACATGGTTATGTCAGTCAAATATGAGAACGCTGTTTAATGCTATTGAGATAGCTCACGAACCAATCCCTTAAATGCAATTTTGTTAGGAACTTTTACCTAATATACATCTTACATGCACAAGATATTTTATAAATAAGTAACACTTACTAAATAAACTTGAGGGTCCAATTCATCGTTATTTGTAACCAATGCATCCAGGCGTTTTCTTATGAAATTCATATTTCTAATGTACGCCTTCCAAACAGCATATTCTTTTTCTAATTCCATTGACAAAACTATCCGTAACGCTATATCATAGTTCAGGCCAGAAGCTATCCGTCTTGCTAAATTGAGGGAGTCATCTAGTAACTGAATAAAGAAATCACATGAAATTCTGGGTTAATAAAGCTTAAGCCATTAAAATACGAGAAAAGTTTGTATTATATTGGGGTCCTTTACAGAGATCTGCAGTGCTATTATGTAAGACGAAACTTATATTTCACCGCGAAATTCGCCGGAGTGATTTAAAATTTAAGTAGGGGAAACCACCCAATCATTGGCACTCGTCCTATCATTGGCACTTTTATATTACAATAGATAATTCAAGGTCGTTACATTTTAAAAAGAAAAACCTAGTATGGTTTCGAAATTTAAAACTTGGCAGCATTATTCCTACAATGTATTGTCTCCTGTTTTTTTAGAAATAAACTCAAAAGTGCCAATAATAGGAAGAGTGCCAATGATTGGGTAGTTAACCCTATTCTAACTTTAAAACATATCGCGGATTGTGAGGTGGAAGGTGAGTTTGATTTACAGAATGGCACTACTGGAACGCGACATTAATTACACACGACTGTGTGTGTGTAGAATGCGTACGCAGCTCTTCTCGACGAGCATGAAAGTTAGAGTGTAACTTGGCGAAGGCTGAAACGCTATAGGCGTCACACGCGACAATATAAATACATATAATATGAGTGATACGTGCGATGCTCCATTCCCTATGCCTTATGCACCGCCTAATGTTAGGTTAGTTAATAAAAGAAGTTTCACTTCAGATGTGTGGTCGGTGAACACTATTTTATTTTCTTTTGATAACGTAATGGAACATGTAACAAGTTTGTTAGGAACAAAAGGGAGGTGCGAGTAAAAACACTGGATTGCGTACCCATCGGTCAGTCCGTCAGTCCGTCTTGAGTTAGCTAATGAATCGGACCAGTGACAAAGTGCACAATTTGTCCGTCCCAGCCGCTTGGGCAATAGAATATCATAATAGCATCAGGTGTTCCTTAGTAGCCTATTAGGGCCTCCTCTGTCGTGTGTGGTTTTTGAGTGGTAGTGAGTTTAAGTGTTCCCAAAACCCTGGATATTTCAAACACATTCGCTTGGCTTTGGCCGGCGGGTTTGCATAAGGAGGAGCGCTCCTCCCGTCGCCGTTGTACTGAAGCCGCTGATGGGATACTAGTCTGTAAGTCCTTAGATTTTATATTTGGTTAGGGTTAGGAATATTTTGCGTGCCTTCCAACGAGCCGTGTATCGCGGAGCTAAGTACGCCCCGGTTTTTAAGTTTTTGTTCGAAGTTAGGGCAACGTGGTTTCTGCCCTACAGACGACAGGCTGCGTACTGAACAAAGTTTAAAAGTGAAAATGAAATGAATAAACCTTTATGTGGTGTAAAAGTTGGTTTTAGTACACAGTAATTTGTGAATTATCTTCTTAGGAATCCTTTTATTGCATTTTATTATTTTCAACATAAGGCACAATCGAATTACATACCGTGGCTCTGTTCAAATGGTGTATTTCGTTTCTTCTCTCAGGATCCTCGAGAGCTGCAATTATTCTTTCCCACATATCAGGATTATATTGAACTCGATAATAACCTATCGGATATAAACAGTTTGATGTTATTTGATAATAAAAAAAGCACAATGTAACGAAGTGGTTTTTAAATCAGGTACAACCAAGATGCTAGAAATAGCACAGATTTGCCGGTCGAATCGAAGCTGTTAGCTGTCGTTAAAAGTAAAATACTCCACTTTATAGACCACAGTAAAATGTAATTTTGCTGGTCTAGTATATCTGTCAGTTAATATAGTCACTGTCAGTTAATATGACACATAGTGAGGAGCTCGATGGCGCAAGTGGTTAGCGCTTTCGTCTGTGATTGTTGAAGTTAAGCAACTTCCGCAGTGGTCGGTCATTGAATGGGTGACCAAAAATTACTATATCGAGCTCCTCCGCGCTTCGGAAGGCACGTTAAGCCGTTGGTCCCGACTGCATCTGCGGTCGTTAGCACCCACCAATCCGCACTGGGTCCGCTTCCGCGAAGGCCTGTGCCCCATCAGTGGGGACATTAATAGGCTGATGATGATGATGATGAATATAGTCACAAGGAGCAGGTGGGTAAGATAGCGATGACTGGAGTGACACATTTTTTGGTAGTATCACCTTATTTTCTATTAACTCTTGCTTGCAAAAGTAGAAGGAAAGACGCTGAAATGGTGACACGTCTTCCTGCGACATTACCTATTATTACACCTGTCCTTAAATATCAAATCTCATATATTGTAACTAGTGGCCTGCCCTCGCTTCGCTTCAATGTAGAGCTGTAGTGTAGACTAAAATGCCTATATATGCCTATAATTATAAAACTCAAAGGTGACTGACATAGTGATCTATCAACGCACAGCCCAAACCACTGGACGGATCGGGCTGAAATTTGGCATGCAGGTAGATGTTATGACGTAGGCATCCGCAAAGAAAGGATTTTGATTAATTCTACCCCCAAGGGGATAAAATAGGGAATGAAAGTTTGTATAAAACTTTTTTCAATTTTAAACCGATCGGGCTGAGACTTTGTATGCAGGGCATAAGAAGAATCATAGATGAATGTCATTGTGTATAATACAAGCCTGAGAACAAAAACTGGAGTCTATACTTCAACTCTATACCGAACCGAAGCGAGGGCGGGCCCCTAGTTATGTATATTTGCCTTTTTCAAACTTCTATTGACATCACGTCACTCAATTGTTTTGCCTTTCCGGAACCTCTCCTCTAACATTTGAAATTTATGACGGTATTAAAGTTCAAATTGACTTTGAAGTTTGTATGGGAGTATAGAAAATTGTTGTTTTTGGACTTTTTAGGCATTTTTTGAAATTTTTCTCTGCGTAAGAACCATCCTCGTACCTACTTCAAGGTATGTTCTAAAAAAAGAATTATCGAAATCGGTTCAGCTGGTGTCGAGATTTGCGCTTAGCAACACATTCAGCGAATAATTTTAATATTATAGATTATCTTATTATCAGCATAATAATGTCCACACTACTGAGGCAAAGGCCCCCGATCCATCCGATGACCGACCATGACGAAAGTTGCTTAACTTCCACGATCGCAGGCAGCTGTGTCATCATCATCATCATCAGCCTATTAATGTCCCCACTGCTGGGGCACAGGCCTTCCCTATGGATGGAATAGGGAGATTGGGCCATGACCCACCGCGCGGGTCCAGTGCGGATTGGTGGGTGCTAACGCAAATGCAGCCGGGACCAACGGCCTTCAGAAGCACGGAGGAGCTCGAGATAGTAAATTTTTGGTCACCCATCCAATGACCGACCACTGCGAAAGTTGCTTAACTTCAACGATTGCAACCGAACGCGCTAACCAACTGCGCCATCGAGCTCCTCATTATAACAATAAAAAATCTGAATTACCTCTTCCTTGTATGTTGAATAGTATCCAGTCGTCTTCGCCAAGGGTTACTGGTATTTCTATGGAGGTCGGTTCATTGTATACTCTCGAGGGGATTACATTTTCAAAATCAGGATCCGCACTTGTGGTAAACGTTATAGGTACGAAGAAGTTAGTAGCGCTCGGTACTCCGGCGAAATTAAAAGTTGACTGAAAGATTATGGGAATTTTATAATAAAAGCTTTGATTTATTTATATGCCTAGAAAGATCACTCCAAATAAACTCTCTTATTACGCGCAATGTGTGCGTATCTCTAATATCAGATTGTACTAAAGCGGTCAACGTGTGCGTGTATAGTAACGAACGTATGTACACTCGCGGAAAGACCTGCTCTGTCACCCATAATGCCATAATCGCTTGCGGTAGCGGCGTAGGAAAAAATCATTCATAGACATGTAATTATCGCTGTCTTACTTTTTCGTATAGAGCTGTCGCGATCACGATGCGGATGACAAATTGCAACTAAAACAAATGCAATTCAATTCATAATTCAATCAATGAAATGCACTCTGTCTTACTTTTGTACGGCGGCCCGGATTGGCGCGTCCGACGCGAAGGCGGGGCGTAGAAAAAACTACTGTAGAAAACCGTTCAAAGCATTTTGTTCGCAAAGTGACAGAGCGCAAAATTCCGCGATAGTACGTACCATAAGAAGTTGATATTTTTGTGCCATTTCCGAGCAGTTAATATGGAGTCTAGGTATTTAAAATGTAATATTAAAAGTTTGTAAGTAATTTTCTTCTTACAACCTCCGTTGTAGAGTCGTTTGTACACCTGTGTTTAAGGTGTCGCCTGATCTTAGGTCCAAGTTTCGAGAATAATAGGTAGAAGAAAATGTTTGTACAATAAGTACGAACACTCCACCTGAGTCAGCGTTATCTTGCATTTCTATACCATTATACTAGTATTGTGTAAAACTAAGCCTTACAGTGCTTACAAAATATAAATATCGTATAAAATTATCTAGTCTTTTTATTCCAAAAATCCCCACTTATGTTTGTACAATGAGTACTCCACCTGAGTCAGCGTTATCTTGCATTTCTATACCATTATACTAGTATTGTTTAAAACTAAGCCTTACAGTGCTTACAAAAAATAAATATCGTATAAAATTATCTAGTCTTTTTATTCCAAAAATCCCCACTTAGCTGCTTTTGCTTAAACTGTGGGAAGTACTGGAATAAATATATCTTGAAAATCATTCAGTAGACAAATAACTTTATTCCGTTTTATTTACCCTCGCTATAGTTACTAGGTTTCTTTGATAAGTAACTGACAAAAGTGGACATCCTCTGGCCTTGATGTATGGATTCAAAAAATCTTCTAAGTTATTAAACAGCTTCTCATCAAGTGCATCCCACGGAGCACCAACATTGTCCAAGAAATTAAAAGTGTTCACTGTGTCCACATTACTGAAACAAACAATAATTGATATTAAATTATTCAATAGCTCATGTTGAACAAAAAATATTATTTCAATAGATTGAGTTTGGCGCCCCTTAGGCTAAGGTTTAAGAGTCCTAGAAATTTTGCGGTAGAACGGCTAAGGTCCCCTAAATATCCTGCCCTAGCCAAGCCATGTTGTTGAAAGATCGTCTAGAAGTAACAGTAATCATACTGAAAATATTAGCAGTATGTACGTTGAAAATCATGAAGGAAATACCCATACCTTTGGACAAACAAGCCCTGAGCTCCAACTTTTATAAAATCTGTTTCTTCATGCATAGCTAGTCTCAGCATCGATAGTATAGCCGGTGCTTTATATTTTAACAGACCATTATTTATGTGACTTCTGATGTCTACTTCATCGTCAATAAAATCATCGGGCTGTAAAATTGTTGCTGAAGCATAACCGTCCCGATACAAGCCCTCTTGTATTACATCGGTGACGAATATGGCATCGTAGTCGATGGCCTCTGTGCTTCCGCTCTCCAGCTAAAAGGTAAATAATTTCTATGTTTTTTTTTGTTTTTTTTTGTTTCTCAATCGGAATAATAAATTATATATGTATTTACATTGAAATAACAAAAGCTTAAAGACTACTTGATGACTAAAATTTACAATCCAAATTACCTTAAACTACGTAATGTCTAAAAACTCAAAAACCAGAAATAACTAACTATACAATTTACAAAATATATCACCCCCAACGCCGCTGTCAGGAATGGTGCCCAATAGGCTGGCAGCATTTCCTCGTTGGATAGCAAGGCTAATCCGCTGACCAAGATAGCTGCCAGCCTTTTGATCACCGGTCGCCTCGGTGAGTCTCTTAGATAATTCCTTAAAGAAGGAACGAGCGCTTGGACCCCATGGTCCCATAGTCTCAACACCAAACGGCACAAATATATAGTTCTCATTGAGAGCTGAATATTTGCGCCGCTTGGAGCACTCGGCAGAGGCCGCCGCCGCGCCTGCAGCCAGGGAGGTACTACTTGTATGGCACGGAGCGATTTCTATGTTTTGTTTAAAATAGACGATGATGTATACAATAATAGTAATTTAAATCCATATCTCTGACGAAATCTGTCGTCGAGTGGTATAAACTCCGGGTTACATGGTGTCGCCTACTTAGAGGCTTCGAATCTAAGGTTTCGAATGATAATGCGATGATGTTTATAATTTTATTATGATGAATACTGTTAAACCTACGTGGTTTTATAATGAGACTCTGGCCGTTTTATGATTGTACCATTATGTAAATTTAAATATGTTTGACACTCGTCACACTCTATCTTTTCTACTGCATGCCACTCTGTATTAGTAAAATATGTAAATATACACGTAATGTGAATATTTAAACCTAAGTCATGGATGTTTATATAAACACAATAAAGAAGTTATGAAATGCATAATTTATTATTTTGCTTTAGTCTCTAATAAATGAAGTTGGTTATTACTAACAAATATAATATAATAGTATAAAATCTAGGTCAAACAGCCTGTTTAGTGTTCCTTTTGTTAAGACAAAATATATTTCCAACACGTTTTTATACTGATCCTGTGATTCGTATAATAAAAAAAATATTATTGATATGTTTAAAAATGGAATTGATGAATACAAAAAGTTTTTGAATGAAGTAATTGAATGAATGAACTGTAATTATTAAAATATATTTATTTGTTAATTTGAGTTATGTAAATTTCCATGTTTTTTTTGTTTGTCAATTATTTCAATTCAATTAATGTCGTATTTTATTTAACTTTATATGTTTTTTTTTTTAAATAAATACACAGCTGCTCATAACTGTACTAATTGTTAGTGGAAACTTTGTTGATGTATGTCATTCTCTATATTTAATGTATCTAAATGTAATAAAATATTGTTTGTTTCCCAAATAAATAAACAAAATAAATATAAATAAGTATTAAAAATCGGTCAAAAGTTCGAAAAGTTTGTTGCTTATGATATTTTTATGAGTATATTTATCTAGATTAATAAAATGATATATGTATCAGTATTATATATTGTATCCATCTATCATCGTTATCTTAATACAAGCCTTACAGTGCTTACTTTAGGGCTAGGTTTTGGTGCCAGAGTTAGAAATATTTTGTTATTTTGTCTTAAAAAAGACGAAATTATAATTGCTTCAGTTTTTTTGTGTCATAAAATTACTTTATACTTCTTGTACTTTTAAAACTCAACGAACTACTTTCATTCAAAATTAATTATTGTATTGTGCAGTTGTTTTCTTCCTATAAAAGTAACTCAAAAAGATAACGCTACACTTAGCATTATATTATTATGAGAAAGAAAAATTTGATCCCACATTTTTGTTTCTCCTATAATGCCAAATTGTTACAATAATAAAATTTGTCGATCTAAATACTAAAGCAAGTGACTTCAGTGTCGAAATAGCAAATATTTCTTTTAAATTTCCTTTTTATTTTAAAATAAGTCTCTCCTCACGCAGACAAAGTGAAATTTGCAAGGATTCTACATATAAAGACTATTTGAACATACCTCTTTTACAGCTTCATAAGCTACATAAGTCTGGAACCCGGTTATTATCCATTGGTGTATCCAATTTTCGGCCACAAGAGTGAATCCAAACCAAGGTCGAGCTATAGCCTCTGCAATCTTAACAAGAGCAACTTGCTTTTGCTTCACTGAGTGTTGTTGTGTGACCATCATCAAGTAGGGTTCCCTAAAAATATTATACTTTTATTTCAGCATCGTTCTTATCGTGAATATTGTGACAAACAATCATCCTTATTTATTTGGTTTGGCCTTCCCGAATCCAGTATGTGTCAATTGTTCGTTCATTTTCAGTGTGGTTTACTATTTCAATCCATAACTTTAGTATTTATAACTTTGGGGATAATAAGCGCCTTGTGGTATTAACTGAGTGAATATTCACATCTATATATATAAAACTCAAAGGTGACTGACTGACATAGTGATCTATCAACGCACAGCCCAAACCACTGGACGGATCGAGCTAAAATTTAGCATGCTGGTAGATGTTACGACGTAGGCCTCCGCTAAGAAAGGATTTTGATCAATTCTACTACCAAGGGGATAAAATAGGGAATGAAAGTTTATATGAAACTTTGTCAATTTTAAACCGATCGGGCTGAGACTTTGCATGCAGGTATAAGAAGAGACATAGATGAATGTAATTGTGTATAATACAAGCCTGAGAACAAAAACTGTAGTCTACACTTCAGCTCTACACCGAAGCAAAGCGAGGGCGGAACGCTAGTTCATTCATAAATCACTATAAACTTCTATAAACATAATCAAAAATTTAAAAGTAACTTACCAAAGACCTATCACGGACAGTGTGTTCCATTCAATATCGACATCTGGTATAGCCAATATATGCATATTGTCTGCTTGATTGTTTACTATTTCTAAATAAGGTTTGTTTGTCCATTCGTTTAGAGTGCCATAGATAGAATTGATAGCAACCGATGCTTGATTCTCTTGACCGGCTAAGCCTGGTCTACCAGCAAGTTGGACAATATTTGTAACCGGCACATTGTAAGTCGTAAAATCATGACCGAAAAGCGCCCATCGGAACGGCGCTCCTGCCATCGACTTAAAAGAGACCCTGAAACAAGCAAAAATACGTTTTTGGGAATGATTAATAACGATTGTTTATATATAAAATTAAATATCAGAAAGCATACGTACGAGTCTGCTGCTTCTAGCTGAGTATTTGATATTATATTGGCATAGGGTGCTTCGTTGATAGTAAAAGATATGATAGATGTTTCTGTTGGTTCATCTATGCAGGGAAATACTCGCCTAGCATTAGTCGGGAAAAGATTCATTGCTAAGTAACTGAAACAAAATTTACATAAATTAAAACATGTTTGTGGAATCTATGCATTCATCATCATCATCATCATCAGCCTATTAATACCCCCACTGCTGGGGCACTAGCCCTCCCTATAGATGGAATAGGGAGATTGGACTATGACCCACCAAGCGGGTACCAGTGTGGATTGGCGGGTGCTAACGTCTGCAGATGCAGCCGGGACCAACAGCTAAACGTACCTTCCGAAGCACGGGGGAACTCGAGAAAGAAGATTTTTGGTCACCCATTCAATGACCGACCACTGCGAAAGTTGCTTATCTTCAACGATCGCAGCCGAACGCACTAACCACCCGCGCTATCGAGCTTCTCCATCTGGATTATTAAGTATTTTTTTTTATTATTGGCTGATATTTCAGCAATAGAAATACACATTCTGTAAAAATTTTAACAGCAATCTATGCATTATAATATTAAAATGATATAGCCCTACCACAAAAAAGTTAGACGTTCAACGCAAGTTTAATAAGAAAGTATCATACAACATTTGTTAAAATATGACTGACTGACTTGTACCACAAAAAAATAGATACAGTTTGAATCTATTTTTTTTGTGGTACAACCCTTATAGTATAATCATTATAACATTTGACGACTATTTGAAGAAGTGGAAAGTGGAAGAAATTTTAGCATAAGTGAACTTTGAAAAGTTAACTTATGTTAAAATTTTAATCAGTGGACATAACACATATTTTGGTTTCAAGTTTAGCAACTGAAGTCATAGTATGATACGTATGATACAAATAATAATAAAACAACAACACAACTTAAGCTAAGCTGGTTTTGAATTTTAATTCAAGGCTTACACTCTGTTAGTATTAAGTTTGAGTAAAGGAATCTCGTGAAGATAACTCACAAAAAACATAGATGCTACATTGTTGCGGCATTAGTCAGGTTAAAATTTGCTGGCCTAAACACTATACCCATCATATTCCTCGGAAATCCAATAGGTATCGTCATCCCCAGAAGTAAAATTTAAAGTTGCTTAAAAAAGACTGAAGAATTTGTTTATTTATATGTATAGAACATTAAAAATTTTAAAAAAATCGCTAAATCTTCATTAAGATAGTTAAAAATATATTAAAAAAATGTAATTACTCATGTCTGAGTCCACGAAATAATCCTCGACCATCGTTTCGTATAGGCCCAGAATATTCAATAATAATCAGGTAGTTTGATAATTTTCGGGCAGGATTAATTTCTAGTCGACCATCCCGAAGTTCATAATTTGCCGAAACAGCGCTCTCTTCATTGGTAGCGCTCGTAGCCACTGAATTGATCGTCAAACCATCAATATGCAATTTCAATGGATCGTCTCTAGTATTGCTTGTGACAGTAGCACGAATCACCACACGCCCATCAAAACTATCACCGTTAACTGTAAGAGTTATACCATACTCCCATATCGTTAGACCTGGTCTGATTATACTATTGAAATCGACACTGTTCCTTGTATCTTTATTTTTATTTTGATCCAGTGATATTTCATTAGTTGAGTCCACTTTGCCGATATTAACTTTATTTTCTAAATCATGAACATCGTTTGTAAAAATTGTTTGCACTGATTCTTTGGTAACATGTTGTGGGATATACATTGGTAAAGTACTTATAAAATTAGTGAATACGACTAAATAAGAAAATGCTACACTCCACTTGATTTTACTCCGGACCATTTTGTTGTTATTAAATGGCCGGCTGACTTAACTGTTTATTGGTTTGTAGCCCATGAAGTTTGTATGTGAACTGTGGTCTTGCAAACTCTAGCGCAGCTACGAGTGATTTTAATATTAATCTAGGTCAAAAGAAAGCACGTAATGTGATAACGTCATAGCAGCCGGTACAGCGAGATGTACCTAAAAGTTTTAAGTATTTTATCTAGATCTTTATTATGCCTTGTAGGGGTTATGTGTAAAAAAAACAGAAACCAAACGTTTTATTGTAGTGTATGTTGTCATACTTACGAAAGTTAAAAATAAATCTAATACATAAATTCTGCAGTCGTTCTATTTTATTTAGAAGTTCCTCGGAAAGGTTACTTAACAGGCGTCAGCATAGTCAAAGACAAACAGTAAAAGAGTCTGCGCTGGAGTGGTTTTAATACGCGTGTGCAAAAAGTTGCATAAATGGTTGAGTGAGCTGTAAGTATGCAGCAAAAATTTAATTTCGCCTTTATTTGGTTATAGGTAAAATTGATTTATTCATACAATAGTATTAATTTTAAAACATTTGAAGTTATCTTGAGATATGAAATAACAAAAAGAGCTTCTAACATTATAAAAGCATTTATTAGTATGTAAACTAAATTGCAATTAGGTACCAAATAATTCAACTAGTTTTCAACAAAATATATTTTTACATCAAAATATTTGAAAAGTATGTTTTTTTGACTGTACTAAATCGAAATTTATTGATGGGTTATGTTTTGATTAGATAATCGCAGAGAATCTCGAAATCCTGTTCTACTTCAATCTCACTTGGATACGCCGCCGCATCGCAGGAACTTGCAATGCGAATTGCTGTGATACGATTTAGTGCAGCAAAGCGTTGGTTCAGGTGACAACACCTTCAACGGTAGTCAGCCATATTGGACGCGGTTTTAGAAATAGTAACTTGGATCGCAAAAAGATTTCGCACTGCGGTTATTGTTAAAGCGATATACGAGTAGCAGAAAAAGCAGATTTTGGGTTATCCATTTAAAACGATTATCTTCATTTGGAAAGCTTTTTAGTTTATTATATTCACACAACGGCGAAGGCGCCGGAACTTTTCCATTGCGCTGCCTCAGAGCTTAGATTAAAACAAAAAGGGTAGACACGGTACGCTCATACTTGCATCAAACAAAAACTGATCCCACGGCAGCGCGAACGGGACGGCGAGATCCGCGTCACTGCATTACCGACCTGAACGAAACAGCACGTTAAGTTTCAACGGCAGCGCGAACGAGACGGCGAGATCCGCGGCACTGCACTACCGACCAATCACGCGACCAGTACTCGACGTCACTACCGAATAAGATTCAAAACAAACAGCAATTTTTATGAAAAAATATATTTTATCGTATTTACGAATGAAAAGTTGTTTTATTTTTAGTTCTTGAGCAATTTGAGTACTTTTTTAAAAAACACTTAGGCGTTGTTTTATCATATAAACACAAAATATTAGCAATATTTCTTTTTGGCGTTCACATGTACGTCGTTTGCATGTCAAGTTGTGACTAAAGCGATTAGGGTCGTGGACCACAATTGGTACGGATCACTTTTGTGAGGCTAGTGCCGTATCTACCCTTTTTGTTTTAATCTAAGCCTCGGAGCGGACTTAAATGGCGTCACCGAGAGTAATGTAATATCGCAACGATGAAGATCTTGCGGTGCGATCGTGCGCTCGCAGATATTTGCGTTGCGATGTGAAATGTGTTAACCTATTATAAAATTACGTTGGAAATCATAAAACGTCCACATGCCTATTAGGCCATCGCAAGTAGGGCATTAGCAAACTGAAGTGGCAGTGGGCTGGTCACATTAGCCGCAGAACTGATGGACGTTGGAGCCGGAAAGTTCTTGAGTGGAGACCGCGACTCGGTAAACGTAGTGTAGGACGCCCTGAGACAAGATGGGATGATGATATTCGTAGGCTGGCTGGAGTGGGCTGGATGAGAGTAGCACAAAATCGGGAGCAGTGGCGTGCATTAGGGGAGACCTATGTCCAGCAGTGGACGAACATGGGTTGATGATGATGATGATGAAGTAGGGCATTTGAGTTTGGCAATAATTACCGATCAATTTAATTTTACTTCAGTACTGGAAGTATACCGATTTGAAGATTAATTTTCCAAGTAATTTCATTGCCTCTAAGAAACTACGTGCATCACTCAAATTTATCAGATCTGAATATCAAATATATTTCGTTTTATCAACTTTACGTATCGGACATTCCAGTCCAACAACCCACTTGAGCTTAATCTAGCCGCATTCAAATATATTCTTCCTTAAACGACGCATATTATATAAAACGGATAGTACCTACGTTTAAATATGATGAATCTATTAAACTTTTTAAAAGTTAATTTAAATAAATGAATTGTCCCTCTTATACTCACATAAATCCCGACCTTAGCAAAGGTAACCATAAAATTATATAAAATTGATTATAATAAAAGCTTGTAGGTATTTTTTATTCTTATTTTAATCGTAGTCGTGTCACTATTGTAGAAGGGTGTTTTCTTTTCTTCCTATACCTACAATTTAAATGAAAATAAATGACCTTATAATTTGCTCACTGTTCCTTCTCCAGGGGAGAGAGAGTCCTGGTGCTCTGAGATACAGGTGTTCTGCCTAGTTGAGGCACCAGTCTCTCACAATCTATTTTACTGTTCTAACATAAAATAATAGTATAATAAGCTGTCATGAAAAAAGATTATTATTATTATTAAAGGGGAAGGCCCTTTGTACCGGATGCACCATTGACTTACCCAGACCCTTTCCCAGTGGGCACTTTGAGCAAGTGCCCAGGGCCCCGCGATCGATAGGGGCCTCCCTCAAATTAAATACAAAGTCCCTAGTTCCTATCAGATCACCAAACGATAACCAATATTCGAACCGAAAAATCGAACCTAAATTACTGACTGAAATACCAACTTACTAGCTTTTACATAAGCGAACTCTCGGCCAAAAATTAGGCTTTCCGACTTCAGCATGCTTAGATAAATTTAAATATACACATAATGGTATACTAAGCACATACACATTTTAAAGAAAAATCATCAGTAGTACAGTCATCAGTATAACTCGCTCCATTACAAGTCATAATCCACATCAAAGTCAATTGGGGCCCCATTGAAATGAAATGAAATGAAAATTCATTTATTCAGTCTAAGGTGTTACAAACACTTGTGAAGGTCAAGAAGCTACGCCATCAGTTCGCAAAACTACGGCGGGAGACCTTGTACTGAGAACTGGCAAGAAACTCA